GGAACTGTGATACCAGATACCCCTTTGAAGGACAGGCATAAGTTAGGATGGTGCAGTCCACTCATAAACGGATTACCTCCCTTCCACGCTCCAAGTGACTTACAGCAATCTTGAGTTGGAAGATGGGTGCACTTTGGTTGGAAGAAATGTAGCTGCAAGTAAGATTACCAAAATGGAATTTAATTTTCATGAAAAGCATGCTCCAGCCAGCTCCAAAAATGCAAACTGACAGCCATCCCTGATGGGAGATGGGGAGATGTTTTCTCATAAATGTGGCCAGCCCAAGAGAAAAACACCAACAGAATGGCCCAGTATGGATCATTCCATAGGAGATGACAATTGCCATCTCCAAACTTGCCAGGCATGGCTGACATCCTATTGGGTATCTCTGAAAATAAAGAAGAGGGAGAGGCAATTCAAGGATATTAGAAATGATACTGGAAGAAGACATTTTAGAGATGGCCTACTTGAAGGGATAGGAGAAAACACTGTTTACATGGAACAGCAATAGAATGTCCTAAGAGAAAAGAAGAATGGAAGGAGAGAAAGGAAGACGTGTGGAGAGAGACAGTCTGACTCATAAAACAACCCTTTAGATTACAACTGTGACAGCACATAAAGCAGCTAGAAAATAAAACTGAAGAAATCGCCCAAAAATAGAACAAACACTAAAAGGAGATGGTTAAGTAGAACAGCAAGATGTAAGGAGGCAGCCTAGGAAATCCAGCATCCACAACAAGCCGGGAATTGCGGAAGGACAAAACCAGAAGGCAGAAGGTAGCAAAGAAGCAAAGTAACTCCAGAAGTAAACTTGAGTGTTTCCAGACTGAGTTGTTCAGAAATACCAGGCATGACAATGAAGATAAAGCCTCAAGAAAGTGCAGAGTTTGGGCAAGGAAAGGACCTGACAGGTTCTTAGAAGAATCAGCCACTTGCAAGGGGCCAGAGGCCACCACACAGTCAGACCTCTCGGCTGTAATGAAGAAAGAAGAAAACTATGCGACAAGACCACCAAATTTTTGAGGAAACACTGCTTCCAACCTAGACCTTCGATACTCAACCAATTATCCATTAAGTATGTGCACAATAAAAGCCAAAAATCATACCTTCCACAGACCTCCTCTCAGAACATTATTAATGAAATAGTCAGTGTGTCTTGTTTTGTTTTGTTTATGTATTTTGTATAGGGTCTTACTACACAGGTTGGAGTTGTAGTGATCCTCCTGTTTTCAGCCTCACCAGAGCTGGGATCACAGGCATGTGCCACCACGCCCAGACTCAGTGGCTGGCTCAGGGTGCCCAGGGGCAGGGCTAGTGCTGCATGTGGTGCCAGGAATTCAACCCCAGCCCCTGAGCTTGCCTAAGCAGGTGCTTAGTCCACTTAGCTATATTGCCGGTCCTTCCAACAAAATAAAAGACTAACCTAAGAAAAAGAAATTCAAGGAGTCCAGTGTAGGAGCAAGGTGTGGGGCTGCCCTGGGATGACTCCAAAGAGCAATGCCAAGGTGGTCTCTGGGCAGCAAATGAGTAATTCACCAACCCCACAGTGAGGTTGGAATCCTCCAGAAGAGATTCCCCCCCAGAAGGTGGACTAAACACCATCTCCTGCTTCTGAATGTCTGAAGAGAAGACTCAGATAACCAGTGGAGGCCTCAGGTCAGGACACTCATACAGACTGCTCAACCCATTCAGTGTGTGATAACAAAATGTCATAGACTGTAGTTTATAACAACAGACATCTATTGCTCACAGTTCTAGAGGGTGAAAGCCAGCAGATTCAGTGTCACATGCGGGCCCTTCCCATGGTCCACAGATGGCGCAGTCTCCTTGTGTCCTCACATGGTGGAAGAACCTCTCGAGCCCTCTGGCACCTCCTAGGTAAGAGCAGTTTCCACTCCTTAGGCTCCACCTTCATGACCTAATTACTTCCCAACGCCCACCTCTTGATGTCATTACTTCCTCAGGGTTAGGGTTCAATGTGTAGATTATGGGTGGTACACAAGCATTCAGACTACAGCAGAAACACAGGAAAAATAAAAAAAAAATTTTAAAAAAACCAGCAACCAACCAAATGAGTTAATTCATAAGCAAAAATACAGAAGAGAAAGAGGAACCCCAGATAATGGCCAAAAATCCTGAGGAGCTTACAAAGTGGAAGCGATCTAACACTGAGGATCTTGTCAACCAGACTGTTCTACCACAGCCCGCTTGCCGGATGGATGTGGAGGCAGAGCCAGAAGGAAGGGGACACCTGCCTTGGCATGCACTGTGTCTGCAGGGTCCCTGGACTCCACACAGCCCACCTGAGCTCTGTGCTCCCGACCGATGGGAGCACAGACTGATCTTCCGTCTTCTTTCCCTTCTTCTGGGGATGTGTATGTTGTGGTTGTGTTTATGCAAATACAGTATATATGTATGATGTGTGTTGTATGCTGTGATGTGGTATATATGTCTGGCATGTGTCCATAGTGTGTATGTGCTGTTATTTATACATATGTGGTACGGTATGTATAGGTTTTATTTGGGGGTTGTGGTATGTGTATGAGGTAGAAAGATGTGATGTGTGTGATGTTATATGTGTGGTATCTGTATATGTACTATGAGGAGGATGGAGGTATGTGGTGTGTAAAGTGTGTGTGTGTGTGTGTGTGTGTGTGTGTGTGTCGTAGGATTTGCATGTGCATAGTGAATATTCCATGGGAGGTTGAGTTGGGCATGGGGGTATGTTTGTGGAGTAGGATGCACATGGACGTGCATAATGGGTAATGTGCTGCGCATGTGGCTGCACGTGTGAGACGTGGTGTGGGTCTCGTGTACGTGCTCCCAGTGGCACAGCAGCCGCTCACAGCATATTCTGCGCCTGCTCTGTCCTGCACTCCTGGCATTTTTACCTCCCCTGCAGGACTCCCCTGCCCAGGCCACACCCAGTACTGTAGCTTAGGAGCAGAAAGGGATGTGTGACACAAAGTACTACCAATAGGGGCTCAGTGGTCTGATGTCAACAAAGCTCACAGACAAGACGCCTGACTAAGGTACAGCCCTGGGCATTAGTGCAGGCAGGGCAGTCTCAGGGTCACCACTCTGTCCCACAGTGGTCCCACCTACTCACCAGAGACAGAAGCAAAGCAAAATGATAAAACTCACCCTGACACACAGAAAAATAGGTGCCTATGTGGAACTCACAGATACACAAGACCCTGTCCACAAATTTTTAAAATCAAAAAAAGGTAAAAGGGTTAGGAGTGCAGCTCAGGGTAAAGGCGGAGGGGGGATCAAAATTCACATAATTAACAAGCCATTTCTTGGTTCTGGACGAAATCTTTATTGCTAGATGATTCACCTAGGGGTAAATGACCCATCAATACTCTTCAGTCAGCCCCCTAGGACCCCCAGGAAGCTGCATCTCAGTTTAATTACTTTTTGCATTACTAAGGATTGAATTCAGGACCTTGTGTTTGCCAGGCAAGAGCTTTTACTCTACTGAGCTATCTCCCCAGCCCTTCAGTTTTCAATGAAGAGAGGCTAACTGGTAGAGAAGGGCTGGGAGGTCAATGTCATAGTCTGACCCCAGGCACATGCAGCAGCCACCACACAAGCACAGCAAAGCTGTTGGGCTCAGGCTATGGGGTTCCTTACCCCACAGACTGGCCTGGTCTGGGCATCCGATTCCCAGCTACAGGACCCAGCAAGCTGTCGTAACCCAAAGACAGGAGTTGGGCCAGCAGAAGGCTTGCAGTACACTCCCAGTTCTGAGCCTTCAGATCAAGATGTACCGGGAGAAGAAGGGCTGCAGAGCTGCAGGCTTCTGAGGAGCGGCAACCCACCCACTGGCAGCTCTCCTGCTGTGGCAGGGTTTCTGCCCGCCTGGATGGACAGCATCCTCTGGGAATGTGGAGACTTGGCAGTAAGAATGTAAATGCCAGTCTGTGTCACATAATGAGGTCACACACTGAGAGGAGCACCATTAGATGCCCTCATGATGAGCAGACACCACAGACACAATAGGCAATAGGCATTTTTTAGCTCTTTTATTATCTTATGGAACCAGTGTGGTGTTATCCCCACTGACTAAAGTGTTATCCTGACAGTATACAGCCTTAAACTGTCATTTCTAGGTTCTTACAGTACTATTACAAGTAAGTTGGGCCCCCCGGCATGCCATGCTGGCCCCAACCTGTGTGCACTGAGACATCGATTGAGACTGGGTGTGCTAAAGCGCTCCTGTAATCCCAGTGCTTGGGAGGCTGAAAACAGAAAGATCACTACAAGTTCAATCTGTGTAATGAGACCCTGTAGGCCCTGTACTAAATACATTTAAAAAAAAAAAAAAAAGTAAGCATGGGGCTGGAGAGACTGCTCAGTGGTCTGAGCACCTGCCTGGCAAGCGCAAGGTCCTAGGTTCTATCCCCAGTACTGCATGCCATGCTGGCCCCAAAAGCCAGGAACTCTGAGTCCGCCATGCTGGCCATGGAAAACAGGTATGGTAGCACATGCCTGTAATCCCTGTGCTGGGGAGGCTGAGATAGGAGGATGGCTATGAGCCCAAGCTGCACAGCGAGACCCTATACCAAATAAATGAATAAATAAATAAATAAATAATAAAGGGCCAGGGAGATAGCTCAGTGAAATAAATGCTTACCTGGCAAGCACAAGGTCCTGAGTTCAATTCCTGGTACCACAAAAAGAAAAATAAATAAATAGTAAAAATTCAAAAAGCAAGCATGAAGCTGGGTGTGGTGATACACACCTATAATCCCAGCACTCTGGAAGCTGAGGATCGCTGTGAATTTGAGGCTAGCCTCGGCTACAAAGCAAAACTGCTCCCAAAAAGAACAGCAAAAAAAAAGTGAAATATGAGAAAACACAGGAGGAAATAATTCCAAGAGAGCACATAATTAAAAACGAAAATAAAACTCATTTTATAAATAAAGCAGTTGAAGCATCACGTTTCCTCCTACTGGCACTTGCTTTAGAATGAGAAAAGAAGAAGGCAGAGCAGCTCAAGGTATAAATCTTCATTTATTAAAGTACACAGTTTACAAACTCGTTTAACAAATGTAGTTGTGAATGCACATCAATAAAATGATATCGATCACGAACATTTATCAATAAACAGATCATTTTACCTGAGCGACATGTACAGATAAGTGATTTGCATAGATTTCCCCATAGCTCAGCAGAGACACGCGAGGGTCAAGATGAATGAAAAGATGCAAAAATAAAAATATCTATAAATGAGCTACGAGGTCAAAACAGGAAAGGCATCTTTTCCTGAATAATATTTGCTTTCTGCCACCTTTTACTACTTCCGCCCTGAAATAAAATGCAACCAAGAGAAACGAAGGCTCAAGGCCTCCCCTCCCTGGGCGCGGGCGCTGTCTTCCCAGGTCTCCCCATTCAACCTGAGAAATTCTGGAAGACGTCGTCAGCCGCCTCCACCCAGTTCTGGAAGCAGGCCAGACCGCGCTCACGAATCTGCTTCCGCCCCTTGTTGGTGATGACTTCCCCGCTTTGCTTCACAATCACAAGCTTGGGGGTGGCCGTGACGCTGTATCTTTTCTTCAATTCACTGCGAAGAGAAGAGGGACGCCAGCTGGTTAGCATTTCTGGCTGGCACATTCATCCGACCAGAAGGGGCCCCGGGACCCCGGCGACCACCCACCGGTGGCCAGCTCCTTTTATGCTGTGACTGCAGTTTCTGAGCCAGTCCTGACCCAGAGACTGTCTATAGCGATGGAGCCATTCTCTGGCTGTCTTGACTGGACTGTGGCCGCCAGCCAGCTGCAGAGAGGCAGTGCACTGAAAAAAGGTAGCCAGTGTGCCCAAGGAACTGAACCGCTTATACTGAATTATTCATTTGTTTCCTTTTGCAGTACTAAAGATGGAACCCAGGGCCTCCAGCATGCTAGGCAAGTGCTCTCTCTACCTCTGTGCCACAGCCCTGCGCTGTTAATTTAAACTTAGGTAGGCTGTGGGGAGGTACTGAACAGTGCAGTTCAAAATGCACAAATAAACTCTGTGGTTGGGTTGGCTTTTTTCTATCAAGAGAAGAAAAATATATAAATATTATGGTATAAGTTAAAGTTGTATGAGTTCTAAATACATTCAAAGGGCTGAGGAGATAGCTCAGCAGCATAAATGCCTGCTTGGCAAGTACAAGGTCCTGAGTTCGATATCCGGTACAATAAATAAATAAATACATCCAAAGCCTTATGAGACTGTCCACCTTAGAGCTGAATGTTGTGCCAGTTGACGTGATTAAGGAGGCATTTCTTAGCTCCATTTTACCATCTTCTATAACCCAGTTTTCTTTTTACAAACTTATCTTAATTCATTTAGAGAAAGATGTACCTGCCCCCTCAACTCAGCTCCCCATCAGCTTCACAGGGATTACCCCTTCAGGAAGGTCAGCCAGGGAAATCCCTTTCCTGTCTATCATGGCCTGGAAACAAGGCCTCATGGTTAACACAATCTGATTTCTTTCATCTGGAGCCCTCAGGACTGGTACCAGAGGGGAAAAAGAAACACCCATGAGACATTCCTACTTCTAAACTTCCTCTGCAGCACCTCCTGGGAGGCCTCCTCAGTGCTTCCCACACCCAAGCCAACAGCAACCCTCCAGAGCCAGGAAAATGGGACAAATTTCCAGCATACAGAGAACACACCAAATTCAGCATCTGTGAGGCCATGATAAAGCCAACCCTATGCACAAAGGCAGTCTTACTAAATTTCAAATGATCAGTAGTATACAGACTACCAACCCAGACTATCATATATTGGAATTAGAAACCAATAAAAAAAAATCATGTGGCCAGTGAGACAGCTCAGCAGACTAAGCACCTACTTAGGCAAGCACAGGACCACGTTTGATCCCCAGGAGCATTATGTCATGCCGGCCCCACCCCTGGCACACTGAGCTGGCCACAGAGTCCCGGTATGGTGGTGCACACCTGTAATCCTAGCCCTGGTGCGGCTGAAAACAGGAGGATCACTATGAGTCTGAGCTGCACAGTGAGACCCTGTACCAAATACATAAATAATAATAATAATCATTATGTTTAAGAAAGGGATTAGGGCCAGGGAAATAGCTGGATGGTCTAAGCACCTGCCTGGCAAATACAAGGACCTGGTTTTGATCCCCAGAATCCCAGGCGCCACTGAAATCAGGCATGGTCGCACACGCGTATAATCCCAGTGCTGAAGAGGCTGAGACAGGAGGATCACTGAGTCCAAGCTGAGCTGCTAGCAAGACCTTGTACCAAATAAATAAATAAATACATCTTTAAAAAAAAAGAATGGGTTTAAACCAGGCATGGTGGTGTATCTATAATCCCAGCATTCCAGAGGCTAAAGCAAGAAGATCACTGTAAATTCAAGGCCAGGCTGGGCTACACAGCAAGTCTCTGTCTGAATAAAAACCAAAGGGTTGGGGGAGAATGGGTTTAAAAACTGTATGGTGTATGTGAAATGTATAGAGTACAAAATGTTTAGCCAGCCATGGTGACACACATCTGTAATCCCAGCATTTGGGAGGCTGAAGCAAGAGCATTACCACGAGTTCAAGGCTGGCCTGAATTACATAGTGAGTTCAAGGGTACCCTCAGCTACAAAGCAACACCCTATCGCAAAAAAAAACAGGTTGGTGAGTTAGCTCAGTGATTAAGCGCCTGTTTTGGCAAGTGCAGGGACGGGTCAATCCCTGGTCCTGCATGCCATGGTGGCCCCCCGCAACAGGGCGCGCTGAGGCTGTGACCAAGTCCAGGCATGGTGGTACATGCCTGTAATCCCAGCTCTGGAGAGGCTGAAAACAGGAGGATCACTACAAGTCCAAGCTGCATGTATGTACCAAATACATAAATGGAAAAAATTAAAATTAAACCATATGAATGGACGATAAACACTTCATATCTGAGAACTCCACATCTATGGATAAAACCAACTGCAAATTGAAATATTCAGAAAAAAATAATGCTTGTACTGAGCATGAAAACTTTTTCTTGCCCTTATTCACTAAATAGCCTAAGAACTATTTATACAATATTTACCTTGTCTTGGTTATCACAAGTAATATGGAGATGATTTAAAGTATATGAGAGAAAAACCAAAAATAAAAATAAAAATAAAGTACATGAGAGGATGTGTGTAGGTTATACACAAACACTACCCTGCTGCAGATAAGGGACCTGGACCCTCTCGGGGTTGACACCTGCAGGCATTCTGGAACAATACCCTGATACCAAGGGACACCTGTACTGAGTCACACTGTCTTTAATCCTCCTCAGAATACCACACACACACACACACACACACACACACACACACATGCACACACACCCCCTTCAAACACCCACCACGCTCGCCACTCTCTAAAGCCTCTCTAAAGCTGCTTGCCACTCTGGAAAGCCGTTCCAGAAGTCCTGTCGCGGCTGCCTTGCTGTCCTGACTCCACCCCATGGTTACTTTTCATCCTGACTTTGGGATGAGCACAAGCGTCGCAGTGCCAGCCACGGCGGGTGGTGAAGTGGATGAAGACACACCGTGGTATCTTCACAAGCCCGCCCTGCCCAGAGGCAGCCCCTGGCGGCAGCAGTTGCCGTAATTGTGTTATTCATCATATTTATCACACTCATGAAAGAGGACTTCAAGAACTGCTTCGGAAAGTGGCAACAAGAATCACATACGTGTGTTTGAATCAGCCAAATTGCCCAGCGGATTAAAGTGCCTGTAAGGCGGGGGATCCCCAGGCCTGACGTGCCAGCCCCATCCCTGGGGCGCGCTGAGACGGCAATTGAGACTGGATGTGGTGGCGCACACCTGTAATCCCAGTTGTAATCCCAGCTCTTGGGAAGCTGTAAACAGGTGGATCCCTAATATACAAAAAGAAATGGGAGTGTCCTGAGGGGGATTGAGGTCGATGCATCTTTTATTGTAATAATTGTTTTATTTAAACACCATAAATGTTAGTCACACCTTGTACAAACTGTAAACTATAGATACACCCTGATACTCTTAGGAGGCTATAACCTTAAATACACATATCCAAAACTCATGCACCCATAGTCTCAGCTCAGGAAAGGCTGAGGCAGGAGGATCACTTGAGCCCATGAGCTCAAGACCAGTTTGGGAAGCACAGCAAGACCCTGTCTTAAAAACAAGTAACAGTAAAAAATAACAACAGTGAAAAAATAGATGAGTTATGTATTTAAGTCAAGAAGCTAATGATGAAACAACTTCAAAGAAAGTAGAAAGAATAATATTTATTATAGTTTATTATAGTTAAAAAAGGAAATGGTGTGGTAGTGCACACCTGTAATCCCTGCACTAGGGAGGCTGAGGCATGGGGACTGCTGTGAGTTTGAGACCAGCCTGGGCTACAAAGTGAGGTCAAGGCCAGCCTGCGCTACATTGCAACATCCTGTCAAAAAAAAAAAAAAAAAAAAAAAAAGCAGTCGCAGCTTCTGTAGCAATACTCAAAGGATGGCTGTGGGCACCTCACAACTTCCAGCACAGCCTGGAAGGATGCTCAAAAGCCCTCCTTGTAGCATC